TTTTCAAGTTTTGACAAGTAATGATCTGATTCCTGAAGTGAGTGAGGGCTCAAAGTGTTCGATATTCATTTCATTTTTCATCATTTCTTAAATCAATAGTTTTTCCTGATTGAAGGTACTGTGGTGATCGCGACTGGCCAGATCGTATGCTTCTTGTTCCGGGTAACAGCTTATGGTTCATCCTCGAATCGTCGACCTATCCTGCCGAAAAGCCAATTGCTGAGGTTGACCAGTTTTTTCAATTAACTTCTTTTAGTTAGTGGGCTCACACTGCGACATGCGCTATATCTTTTGAACCTTTGCAGTTTCGGCGGCTAGTTAAAGAAAGTTAGGCAAATGTGCTGACGCCCTGCGATTGGTTGCTTCTAAAAGCTTGAAATTTCAGTATTCAAGGAAAAAAGCAATTTGGTCATTCCCTACTCATTCACATTTCACTTTGTTAGGGCAGTTTCCTGACGGTGCAAATGGTAACTTACTGAATAACTTTTGCCGGCCTCTGGTAGCAGCAGTCATTTTCTCCGTTTTAGGAATTACGCTGGAACTGGTTTGAAATCGGTGTCCAAAATTTGTTAGCAAATTGCCGAGTATTTGGTTTCTTTTTCTAGCGATAAAACTTTTAACAACAAACCATGACCAATGCCAATGCGCTTTTGCACTAATTTTATAAAATTGGGAGTTTGAAAGATAAGGCATGAATTTTCGTTTTATTCCGTTCAGATCTACGGCTATCGATGCACAATAACTGGTTTTGTGTATTCAGAAAAAGATTCCAGTATGGCTTTGGAAGAAGAAATAACGTGGATTTGTGCCAGTGCTTGCAGGCTACTCATCCAGGTACCATTGCTACCGATTCCTATCTATGCACTTTTTTTCAATAACGTACCATCAAAAAAATCTTGGATGATTTTGAGCTGATTTCTTACTTGAAGAAAATGGGTACATTAGCGCACTTATAAATTTGTGAGACGATACAGAATCATGAGTTTTTCCGATTCCGTCGAACAAAACTTTGGTATCAGCTGTATCAGTGATCGAAGATGAAATTAACGATATTGTGCGTAAGCATGGTGCATTGCTTCGCAAAGGACTCAATCTTTCTCACCATCCGACTGTTAACGAAATTCTCAAACGAAGTTTGCCAAGCCCATCACAAACTTCAGGTTACTTTTCGAGTCACTTTAAATGAAAATTGGTGTTTCACTTAAAGACCTGCAAGCAAATCAAAACTGACCGTTTTTTCGAAACAAAGCTGGACAAGCACTCTAAAGGCTTTTTTTGAGAGGATTGAAAAATTGCTGCGCCACGTTTTGCATTACTAAGCTTTGGTGATATGGGACTTTGTCAGCCTGACTAGGGGTTTGCGGGAAATAACGGTGTGTTGTTATGCAATAAAGTACAGCTCAATCTTACTTCTTTTCCTCGAAAAGGTGAAATTTACTTCATTAATTTTTTAATTTACTTCATTAATTTTTTTTAATATAAGTTATATTTCAAGTATTTTATTACTAACACTCTAATCACCTAGAGAGTTGTATTGCTAATTCTTCTAGCAGTATAGCTCGCTTGGTATTTAGGGTGTTAGTAATGATGTATTCAAAATATAACCACTGGTTGGGAGCGCGCAGTAGTGAATCGCAAGGCAGGAAAGGATTTTTCTCGGATAACTTTCGAAGTGATGATGTCCTAGACTGTGAAAAGGATGACGCAGCAGCGCGGGGCAACTAACTTGGGCGTGTCGGCTTGGCATTGCTGTACTAAATGTGCGGCTGCACCTTAGAAGTACCTTGAACCTCAGTTAAAATACGTGATATCAGCACATATTTGCAGACTTGAATACTGCTTACATTTTCATCATGTATGGAGGCCTAAGGCAGTGCTAAACAGTTCGCCTCCGCTGTGACAGTTGTCCTTTGCCTGACTATCACTGGTTTGGTTTTACATGATTTGCATGGAAAACAATCTAAATTTTTGTATTCAGATCTGAAATTCGTGAAAGAATTTGTTGCTGGATCGTCAAGTACCGTGGCTGGTTTCCTTGCTCGATGGATGATGAATGAGCCGGTTGTGGACGTGAATTCTACACAGCTACAAATGCCTGATGAAGAAACACGACTTAGGGTCGCGACACAGGTATATGAACTGGATTCCTCAAGATTATCAAAACCGCCCAAATTGGTGTGGATCATTGATTTTGCTGAGATGGCCTTGTAAACGAGGCAGGGAGAAGGTAGGACAAAAAGTCCAGGAGACGAAGCAAAGTTTTTGGCTAGGAAATACAGTTTTTTCAGATAAAACTCATACCTCGAGATCAGTACGGTCGGCAGGCACAGTGCCCGAATATGAGAACTGAAATAACGGTTCGCTGTGGCATGACATCTGATGATAGTTGCTCGAGCATGTGCTACAAGGCAAATCAAAAACGTCAGATGCCGGCACTGTCTTTCAGGGTTATTCTTGCTGATCTTGTATTACTAAATGAAAAAGTGGCTTTTTTCAAAAATGAATTTCATATGTTATCAAGATATTGCTTCATAGAATAAGCAAGCGGTACTATAAAACTACATAAGCATTCATATTACTGAATATATTTATGCGATAAGTGGCATGATGGTCAGCATGGCGCTGTGGGGTATCACGATTGTGGGTCGAAAGAGTTTTTTGTCGCTCTTTGAGGTAATCTGATTGCAAAAATTTTGAAGGAACCATATCGACCAACTTATGTGAACAGTGCACGGTATATGTCAATCTCAATGATGCCTTCGTATCAGAGTTATTGCTTCGAAGAGTTAAGACTTGCGTGTTACAAGGATGCGATGATGAAGGAACAACTGCAAGCCGTCCAACAAAACGATGGCAGGTCGGTGGCAACTTATATAAACTTTCATTTTAATGACTGTATGGGTAGTGCTGAGTAATGCTGGGTTCGGACTAAAAGGTGCAGTTTTGCAAGAGAAAGAACTATCCCTTGTGCGTTTCATTGATTCGTCTCGGTGTTAAAGTGGTACTGGCACATACCGAGGAAACAAATCTACCATTAGAATAAATGGCAACGCGCACCAGACTAGTCGGTGCGATCATGCGTTTTGAGCAATTCAGCCCATCGAACGATTGACTGTTAATGATTTTCGCTGCTTTGTACTTTAGTCTATGCAAAAATGGTTCAAACATTGAAAAACAGTTAAAAATTTCACGCA